CTGCAAGCCAGGACAGGAACGTTTTATCACCTATAAGCCCAGCACAAGCAAGTTTTCAGCCCAGACACACAGTTCTGACACTGTGATGCAGAAACGCTGTGGGTCACTGCTCCTGAAGCTCCCCACTCTCACACCTCTGCCCACTGAGGTCCAACGGCCCCTTCCCAGGACAGGGATAAGACAGTATGCACATATCCCTTCAGTCAGCTTCACTCCATTTCTTTGGCCCTCTTCTTGTACCCATTCCACTCGCATCTTGCTGCGCCTCAGCCTGACGAGAGCTCACACGATCCCTGTACTCACCACCCGCCACTGATAATCCACCTGCTACCTGGACATTAAACCCACAGTAGCCAGCCAAAAAAAAAAAACCAAAACACCACCACAACCACACTGCTTGCCCATCAGTTTGTGTCTCATCTTAACTGTGACAGACTGCTCTGCCCTCAACTCAACTGAGAATGTGCACAGCTGGCCAGATGTGTTCCCTGCACCAGGAAGCTCACATGAAGTGACATTTGAGAGAAAGGAGCAGAAAATGCTTCCCAGCAAGACAGACACACACCTCCATGGTACAACCAAGCCAGCGCACCCAGGATCTAAGTCGACCTTTGATCAAATAAAAGATTAAACGCTTCTTAGGCAGGGAAGTATTTAACCACTCTAAACACCCCCCTACTTAGCCAGTTTCAACTTCAAAAGGGCATCCCAGCAAACACTTCTTTCCAATGTATGGGAGACAGTTGACTTATCTCTAAAACAGATCTCCAGGCCAGCACACACATGCACGTTGCTGAGCCGGACGTGTTCAAAGATCATGGGAGAGGCTTCTTTAGATTTTTTGAGCCATTTACAAACACATCAAGGAATTTCATTCTGCAGCAAGTGACCTGACACACTGATGAAATCCATCTGAAATTACATCAGGCACTTCCAGGCAGACAGCCTGGGATGGGAGCTGATGGGGAGCCATGAAGTGAAACGCTGACAAGTGGCAGAAAGCCCGGCAACTCTGTACCACAGGATGTTCAAAGTCACACACACACTATTCAAAACCATGAATATGAGTAGCGTCACCACCTTTCTTGTAAGTGCTTAAGCTTTTCCATCAACAGCAGAGTTTAATACAGCCTTTCTTCCTATGGACTCGTAAAACCTGTCTCTTAAGACTGCACCTCATCCCACAATAACCCCCCCATCAGCCTTCATCCTTTCCATGGGCCTCAGAGCATCAGCACAGGCAGCTGAGCCACAGCTCCCGTGGAGCACACACACACACACTGCCCAGCTGAACAGGACAGCTCTGGGACAAAATCCACCCACCTTCCCAGGGCACTAATGGTGCAATCCCACCAACCACTCTGAAGCAATTCAAGAGTCCAGAGGGAGGGAACAGACACAAAGATGGACAGACAGTGATACCGGATCTGCTCTAGGAAGAGAGGTCAGGGCAGGTACAGCAGGGAGGCTGCAAAGATGGAAATAATTAGCCCAACTGCAGCGATAATCCTTTTAGCTTAACAGAAGGTATCCCCCGGTGCTTCCCTTTCCTTGGATATTTAAAGAAAAGAAACTGAAAACAGGAGCCACACCACATGTAATGACTGCCTTTACTAATCGGACTGCTTGGAAGGGAAAGGGAAAAAAATCAGTGGATTGATTTCCGAGGAGCATGAAGGGCTCATTAGACTTGCAAAGAAAATCCACTCAAGTCTAAAGGCACAGATACAACTCCTCCAGACTCCAGCGTAAACTGCATATGCTTTCCACAGGCACTTCAAAAACCAGCCTACAACCGGCAGATTTCAGTGGAAAACAAAGCTCCAACTCGCAGATGGAGGAGATCCATCCTGCTGCAAAGAAGATCCAGAGATTTGGTTCAGTCCCTCACAGCAGAGCTGTGTCCACCTTAAAAACCTCACAAGGGGTTGCCTGAAGGGCCACAAGTCTCTGCTATATCCACCACATCCTGGGGTGATCTGCAAAAACAGCGTGGGATTGAGGTCTGTTCACGCTAAAAAGGCAGGCGGGAGCAATGCTGCACAGAGCAGACACTCCACTTGTGCATCGCCAAGAAGGAGCCGCGATTCAAACCGAGGGCTGCACCTCTGGCCAGGCTGAGCCAGCCCAGTGCTCTGCGAAGCTCTGGCAGGGCTGCCTGCCACCACACAGCCCACTGACCTCTGCCCAGGATCGCTCACCCCAATTCTCTTCCCAGGACTGGTTTGAGATGAGTGGGAACATCTCTGCACTGCTCTGCAAGGATTAGCAATCCAGCTCAAATTACTGCTGCCATTGCCTCCTTTCTTTTCTGTCTCCACAAGCAGGCAGAGCCATGCCGGCAACCCATGCCTTACAGCACTGCCTACTTTATTGATGAGCACCCCCAACTGCAAGGATGTGCCCTCGGGGTGCACCCCAGACACCATGCCAGCCCACCTCTGGAGTCTAAACACCACAGTTAAGCGAGCAAAGCTCCTGCAGTAGAAAGCAGAGATTACACTGGATGGGCAGAAAAACCTAGAAAGCCAGCCCAGCTCCGATGTGACTGCAGCACTAGCGAGAGATCCCCTGAGAGCTGCTGTCCCTCTCCCAAGACATCAGGTGGTGCTTCTCAGAACAGAGGCTGGGAACAGCCAAGATGCCGAGCCCAGGGTTCCCCCTCCACCTGGCTACAGGGCAGGGAAACAATCATCTCTGATATTGTTTAGGAGTCTCAGCTGTTCTAACACAGCTAGAGGGGTCCATTTTGCTTTTGCAAGGAAGGGCTCACAGTGCTTTTTCACAGACTACACAGGGCTGTAGAGCGAGCCACATACCCACAAAGCACAACACATGACCCTGTTGTTCGGGGGCTGGTTGCTTTACCTGTGCGCAGAGCCACAACCATACCATGTTCCAGCAGCTCCAGAGACAGCCCTCACACACACACACACACACTCAGCATCACCTGGATGAAGAACCCACAAATCTGTCCTGAGTCAATGGCACTTCACAAGCTTCCAACTTTCAGAGCCCATCCCCACACCTACATACAGCCAGCACACGGCCTAGGAAACAATTAGCCAACCTACCAGCCAACTGAGCTCATCAACCAGCAGGCTACGCAAACTGAGAAATACTGGGAGCTGGGTGGAAACTATCACCCTGGTTCTTTCTTGATCAGTTCATCAAGTGTCAGACCATTGCTATAGCTAAATTAGAAGCACACCAAGACTCATCAGCACACTGGGCTGGCAAAAAAAGCTTATTCTGCTCAAGACAAACTCAAATCTAACAGCTTTCTTCCAGCTTTTGAATAACGTTCCTATTGGGAAAAGAGGGAATGGCCACCCTCAGCACCTCCCCTCAGACACCACTTGATGATCCAATTTTCAACGCTTCACAAACCAAAAGGGATTTGTCTGGAAGTCTGGACACGGACACACCCCAGCACCAGGATCTCGACAGGCAATGCCAAACGCCCATACAGGAGCACACAGACACTCTGACAGGCAAAGCGGTTATAGTTGTGCTGCAATAAGTGTCAGGACAATTAGTTACTCCCATGCTGATGGACAGAGGCTTTCAGAAGAAATGGCAAAGACACCATCTCAAAAGCATTTTCAACGTGACTTTCCCCAGCCACTGCTAATAGACCCATGACGCTGCAAAGCCCAACTTCCAAATGAGGATATAAATGTCATCAAGGAGCAATTTGCTCTACTCCCCGCTACTACACAGTAAAACCTGCTCAGCTAAGCCCCAGCAAATATGCAAGGAGCAAGGTGGTACCCAAGCACTTCCAAACCCCACGGCTGGGAAAACCCTGAAAAAAGACAATGATGCAACACAGATCAGCAAGCATGCAATTAAGTACGCTGTTCTTCAAAATAAAGCAGAGGAACTCAAAAGGCAGAAGATTAAGACACCCAACTTCCTGGCATGCTACAAGTGTCCCTGACTAGACACACCAGGCTCAGCCTCAAGGTGGAAAGATCAGTTGCAGTGCCATATTTCCCTCATTTTTATCCCATGAGGGCTGCTCTCCTTCCCCATGGCTTTCAAGAAGGAAATGAGAAAGCTGCAGTTCTACTTGTTGGGGACAGATAAAGATGTTTACTTGGTCCATCTGGGTCTTGCTGAAACTGCAGTTTAAGAACAAAAGGAACAGGACAGTTCAAATGAAATGCCTTGGGAAGAGAGAGGCTGGAAGCAGAGGGCAGCAAGGTGACCCAGAGGAACTGATGCAGGGTGAGGAAGCCTAAATTATAAGCCTGACCTGTCAATAGTTAACACATTACTTGAAAAGGGCGAGTAATGAGGGAGGGAGAGACACAAGACCCATACTTGTGCCCTTGTCACCTGCATTTTGTCACCTGAAGGGACTGGACCCATCTCCTCTCCATGGGAGCTTCCCCCAGGGCACACAGAGGTTCCATCAATTCTATCCTCATCTCAACTAATCCCAGTTGATGAAGGATAAATGTCTGTATCTTATCTGTGATGCCACCTGCCCCTCCCAGAGTAGCTAACAGCCTTGCTCTCCCAGGCAGAGACCACATCTTGATGTGTCTCATGTTCATGTCAGTTGGGACCTTTGCAACAAGTTCACCTGAAAGCTGCAGATCAGCAGCAAGCTGTTCCAGAGCAGAGCTGAACAAGTGGTCCTTTTTGAGAAACAGTCTTCGTTTGAAGGCTTCAAGCGACGACAACCACGCTTCACCCTTTCACTCATTAGAGCAGGGAGAGCTGGTTTAGTTCAACTTCTGGCCATCTTGCTGTGCAAGATGAAGACAGACCCACAGCACTGGACACCTCCATGCACACAGTAATGGCCTCATAACCGTTTAAACCAGAGCTCACAGGTGTTTCAATTTACACTCTACGTGTTCAAGACTCAACTGTCCTAAGATCCTCTCATGCTGCAAATCAAGCCTTAGGGAGGATGCAGACACAAGCAACCAACCTGTGGCATCACACCAGAGCACAAGAGCTGGGTCTCAAAAAACAAACCCTACCTGCATCTTAATTCCAAAGCCCTGAACGCAAGCCTTCATTTCCAAGGGCATTCAGCAGCACGACGTACCTCTGCTAACACTGGGGGATGGCACAGGGAAGTATGCCACAGCCATAGACCTCCTTCCAAACACCATTACTCTGTCTAAAGCAAGAATGAGAAAATGCAATAGTTTTATCAGGTGTGAATTATCTGCCTGGAAAACCTCTATGCACTACAGGTAAATCAGCCAGCACCTTGCTTTTCTCCTTAAGTTGCACATCTTGGGGTAAAAACCAAGCATTCTGCATATCAAGAGGCAACAAAGTGTAACTGGGTTAGACTATTTCTCATTTCTAGAGAGAATGAGATGTTGATTTGCCTTCTCTCAAGAGCAGCCTGGTAAATGCCCAACTGAGACCTGTTTTGACTGACCACGTTGAAAAAATAAATGGAAAAAATTGAACTGCACAAGGAAAACCATCAAACACTACAAATCTGAGGTACTGGCAGCAAAAGCAAACACCCTTCATTGGATGCAAGAGGGCAGCCATTGCTCGACAGAACAAATTAATGATTCTCGGTAGTGAATTTTGATCCACTCATTCAGACACACGTTAGACATCTGCCCAGATCCACTCAGATAAGCACAGGGCAGCTCAGGAATACGCTGCATACAAATTGCTGAAGTGACAGCTTAGCTCATCTCGACTACTCGTTCCAGCAAACCCGTTTCTAAGCAAGACCAGCCTCTCGCTGCAAATGGAGCTGCACCTCGTGTGGTGGTACCACCAGCAAATGGAAGGAGAAACTCCCTTTAAAGTGATGGCAGCTGCCCTCTGCAAACGAACAACAAGACTGCATTTCTAGGTGTTAAAAAAAAAAATAAATCCCATCCCCTAACGGAATCCTCCCTTGGGCTACCAGGGCAGACAGGGATGCAGGCAGAAATCTCCATCCCTCACCTGAAATAAGCGGTTTCTACTCCTTCTGGGTTTAATTGCTCCGAGCCAGGAGGGCAGGTGTGCCACACAGCATGCCTGGAAACACCTGGCAGGAAAACTTCCCTTTTCACATCTGTGAAGCTAGACTTAAAACAAAGAAATACCCAACACCTAAAGGGAAAAAAAAGCAAACCGCAGAAAGGGGGCCAGCCCCACGCCCCGCCTGGTGCGATTTTAGCACAAGAAAGAACAGGCAGCATGGAAAGGGACAAGGGGGAAATTTTGGCACAACACGGGGACACCGGCAAGGTGCGAGGCACATCCAGGGAGGGACGACACCACCAGTTACACCAAGTAGCACCACCCCAGCCCCAAACCCACAGGGCTCGGCACCAGCATCCCCAGCCCAGCTGGAAAATCCTCGGGGTTTAACAACACGGGAACCCACCCTGGGCGACCGCACCGTTAACATTAAATATTGGGATCCCTTGGCCGGGCATTTGGGGGATGCAACAAAGCAAGACAACTCCGGGGCATGGTGACCTCAATAACGCCTGCCACCCCCAAATTTCAGGCTGGGTATGGACAGCTCCGTTTTCTGAAACGCTTTTTCCTCATAGTTTTCTATTATTGATTCATTTATCTTTTTTAATTACAGCTGCCCCCCGCCTCCCCCCTCCCCGAGGGCGGCTGCA